CTTGAAGAAATGAAAGAGACTGGGCACAACATGTAACAAGATGAATCAGCCTTTATTCACTACAACAATTATTAAAATATTAAATTCACATAGGATGTGTGCCACCTATGAGACTGTTGGTCATTTCTATATAAAAATAAGGGAATGTATATCCTCGAGGGCTTACCTGACCAGTCAATGGAAAATATTGCTGTCTAATTTCGAATTATTTCTGTACTTGACGCACTTCTTTACAGCAAACTTTGCTACAAGAAGGCATAAAATAAATTATGCGAATGACTCAGAACAATAGTTAATGAGGGCTTTAAAGTTTAGACAAATTCTATATTTAACAAAGGGGTAGTAAATATATCGTATGCCAGTATACAACATGAATTTTAAGCGGAATGTGATATCAGAAGTGTGCTGCAAAATACTATCATATTCTTCCCAGTAAGAGATAGTGATAGGACAAGTGCAGTGATTTGTCGCCAGTTAAATGAAAAAGAAATGAGTACTTCCTTTCAAACTTCTCCAAGTTTACCAGTTTCAAGCTTCAGGTAAGTAAAGGAATATTGAAACATGTGTTTTATTGTGTATTAAACCTGGCAGTAAGGGCATTGTTCATCTTTAAGCCAAAGAGACATAGTTGAAGATAAACAAAATACTTCATATACACAGATACCGATGGAGCCTGAAGCAAGACTTAAGGAGTATGAAGAATTATAATTGAAAATGGAAGAAACTGTCTGAAGTTATTGAAAATGAAAAACTGTATTTACTGAGTAAAAAAATAACTATAATAAAAAATAAAACGTTATTGAAAATGAAAACTGTATTTACCGAGTAAAAAAACATCTGTAATAAAAAATAAAACGGTATTGAAAATGAAAACTGTATTTATTGAGTATGAAAATAACTGTAATAAAAAATAAAACTGTGTTTCACATTGAACTCAAATTTGTTGTTAACCTAAAAAGTTCAAAATTATGGTGGAAGCACACACTGTCAGTAGAATTAAGTAAAAATTACACAAAGAACATAGATAGAATTTCTCTAACGAGCACCGACTTTTTGAAAGCAGAAGTAAATTTATCTGAACCAAAGCTGCTTTTTACAATCCACATTCTTCCCACAACACAAAGTAGACTACAAGAACCTGGAAGTATCTTTGCACCATGAGACACCAGTAATACAACTATCCCATGAAACAGCAGATGACATAACTAAAACAGCACACCAATTGATATGTTTCTTTAACAAAGAGCCAGTGATTTTAGAACTTACCAGTTCTCGTCAGTATTGCTGTCCAACATTACACAACTTATATTAAAAACTATATCATATGAAAAAGTACCTCAAAAGTCATGTAAAAAAAAAAACTTTATTTTTTTTTTAAGAAATAGTAAGTAAAGAATGATAAAGGGGGTATATATTGATTCTAACATCAAAATTCAAGTTATTATAATTTTAAATACTAGTCCAGGTTTTCAGAAATAAACCACTTTTTTTTATGTTAATCTCTTAAAACTAAATGGAGGTTGTCTGACAACCAATATTCTGAATACAACCTGATCTCAGATCTCTTTTATGCCCATCTTGATCAGTTTTTAAAGTTTTAATGTCTTACCTATACAAACATTTTTGCAATTAATAAAAGGATTACAATAAATATAATTTTGACATCCTTTAGGAAGTGCTCCCCCCAGTGGCACGTTTTTGGAATTACAAAGCTAGAAACCAGGTTTTGATACCCATGGTGGGCACAGCACAGATAGCTCATTGTGTAGTTTTGCGCTTAACTACAAACAAACCTTTAGGAAGTTTATCTTTAAGAGTAACACATAATTTTTGAAATAGTAAAGGGTTTGTAGATCGATTTGTTTCTTCAGCAAAACACCACCATATGTATACAATAGGCTAAAAGGTTAGGGCAGAGAGCCTTATGGTTCAGGCATAACCATAATTTTAAACTGTAAACCAGAAAGAAAAAGAAACTAGTTGTAAGTGTGTGCCGCCTAAAGTGGCTACACTGAACTGAATATGAAGATTGCTTACCATTTTTATAATGACACCCACAGCTCAAAAAGCGAAGCATATATAGTAGCATAACTTCTCAAACTCAAGACCTTTGATTCCCCAATCTGATACTTTAACCACTAGACCACATTACGGCATACAGGATTAATCAAAAACCAACTTTATGGAAAATATAGATATAGGATTAAGAAACTTTTTCAGGCAAGGCAAAGCAATATTGGAAGTGTATAAGTTAATTTAATTATTAAAATTAAACCATTTTGATTGATTCTAAGTGCATTTTTATGTATGGTGTAATAATGCATTAGTATAACCCTGATGATGAGAGCTGTTAAGCTCTTGAAACATTGGATCTTTGTTATAAAGTAAAACATTTTTTAGTTGGTGTGCATTTTTGGTTATTCCATGTTTTATCCTGAATACTCTTGAATTCTAATCTAAGAAAATAACATCCTTGATCGATTTATACTATAGATAGTAATGCCTAAGGCTGAATTAGTATGAGACTTAGACCACATTAATTAGGTTTTCAACTAAAAACCTTTGGAAAAGTTTGCTACTAATTTCAAAATATATACTATAAGAGATTGGAATGTGTTATGTACAAATACCACATGAAAACCAATGCCTCCACCATAGCTGAACATTGTGCAATTTAAGGCCATCAGAGTGCTTGTAATTCTCCTCCTATGTTTTTTGAAGCCCCAGGTTAGAAAAATCCAAAAAATGAATTTGCATGGCCTACTTGAAACTCAACAGATGCCACTATTCCAACTACTCTACCAGCAACATAGTTTGTGATAGAGCTTTGTTTTCCTAGCTTGCTCCAACAATGGCTTTATATCCTCTTTTTCTTCAAATTGTAATTCTACTCATCTTAGAGCTCCACACACACTCCTCAGCTCTTCTCCATGTTTGCAATACTGAATTCCTTTAAGAGATATCAACATTTATCTGATAAAAAGCTGTTCTAGCAGTTAATACATTGTTTCCAACTATCCCAGGTGGTTGAAGTTTGTGATATTATTCAAAATTAGTTATTACTCACGACACCAAAACTCTTAAATTATTTACATAAGAAAAAAAAAAACTTTTAAATGAAACTAGAAAGCAAAGGAGATTTCAAAGGGATTTTTGTTATAAATAAAAAATAATAATCGCATTCATTACAAAATAGTGTAACAAATTACTGGTACAATAATTTCTTTTTAGCTTTTACATAATTTGAACAATATTATTGCTGTTTAAAATTATTTTAAAGTTTCTCCATTGTCTTATAATGTCCAAGTTTTCTTTTTTTTGTTACTTTTTAAACAAGTTCTTAATATTTTGATTTTTATGTTTTGCTGTGAATTCTTTACTGTACATTGCAATATGTTAGTTTGCCAATAATGCAAGACATCCTTGATAAAAGAGGTAAGAAACAAACAAGGTTTAGTGAATCTATTTAATTTCAGGACTGAGCTGTTAGCATTCACTCATGATGGTTCTTCACTAACCTGTAGCAGAGTAGATGTACTTTAAATTAATCCTTTTTTTTTTCTTCTACTGATTGGGAAAAATTTCAGTCACCATACAAAGAAAACATGCCATCTTTCTTTTCTTTCAGCATTAGAATCATAAACTTAGTTATAGCTGAGAATGAAAACAAATCAATCATTCCACATATAAGTAAAAGTTTTTTTTTTCCACACTTCTAGAGCTGTAGACGTAGATTTGATAATTATTTTGCAGTTTTCATTGGCAAAAACCACTTAGTTGAAAAGGCCAGTTTTTATTAGTCTTTTCCATCTTTCATAACCTTGATGTTTCTAGAGACCTGTTGGTATGCTCTCTCTCATAAAGAATGATTGTTCATCAGTTTAATTCCATTTTCTGATTTTTCAGTTTCAAGCTGTGTCCATGTGGTGCTGATTCAATTTCTTAAGGGGTCACTCTGATACCTGTATTTGGCTAAGGACGATTTTTCAAGGTGTTAGCAATCTAAGGAGATCTCTTTTCTTTTAGCCTTTATCCTGTAATTTCTTTTATATATGAACTGCCAAAATTATTAATTTTCTAAAACATTTTATGAAGCTAGCACTGAATGTTGTTTAAGTAAAATTTTTTTAACTTTAGTGAAAATATAGATTATACAAAACATGCTGTTTGTACCAATTTTCAGTTATAATGAACATTAAGCTTCATTATAGTCAAACATGTAGAACAACAGCCCCCATTTGATTACTATCTTGCAGTTTCCAATAGCTGCAACCAATTCCACTTTATTACAGTCATTACAAACAAAAAACATCAGCACACCCCCACAGAACTCAATGAATTTTTTTCTTAAAACTTTTACTTACAATTTTTTCAAAATAATAATATATCCTACATTTTTAATACAGAAACAATGTAAAATATAAAATAAATTATATAATTAGAATTTAGCCTTCAGCTTCAGATTGTAATTATCACCCCTTACAAAGTCATATGTTTGAAAGAGCTAAACTGATATTCACATTGATTTTATACATATATATATATATATGTTTGGATTATTATATTACCACTTTCCAGTGGCATATTAAGAAACGAACGATTATCAACTTCGTGTTACTTTTTGTATAAAACTTTTAAGTAATTTGATGAATTAGTCAGAAGGCATACTGAACCTTTATGTATTGGTAATCTTGAAGGTGAAACAAACTAGGAACTTCAGAACAAACAGCTTAACCTGATCAAAGTATTATTCTAATTATTTTTAAAATGTTCAGTTTGAAGGTAAATAGAGCTTTCCTGCCATTTATTAATGTTTCCAATAAATTAGATTCAGTAGAATCTTAAAACAACCCAATATAACACACAATTGCATTTACTATAAAGCACAGTAAAGTTTAGTAAAAAATACATCTTGTGATATACCATAACAACAGCTTCTTTATTTACAAACATGCAATATAAAATGGATGTAAAAATAAAATTACAGACAAAAAACAAACTAGATTATTTAAAGAGTAAGACTTTTATTAACATATAATAGCTGTCTCAAGTACACAATGATAAGCTTTCTTATGACAACTTTTAACAACCACAATATAGAAACTTTTAATGGAATACTTTTTACACAGCTGATATAATATTTTAACTACAAATAAATACACATTTTTATCTGTTACTGAAGAAGCTCTTAATAATTCACATAAATTTCACATTTTTTGCTTAAAAAGTAACTTTTTTTTTCTCACCGAAATTCCTAGTTTCTAAAAACGGACAAGGAGCAATTTGAAAAATGATGATAATTTATCAATTGAGCAATAAGCTAATGAATATGCCCAATACTCATTTCTCCATTATATTTGCAATGGAAGAAATAAATATTAAAGCTTACCAACAAAGATGGAGAAAAACTGTGTATATTTATCATGGTTACTTAAAATGTTTAATTAATCAAGAGTTTTTCCTATCATAATGAAAGAATTAAGTTTCAGAATAAATGAATAGAGAGATAAAACACAGTTAACAATAAAATTGATAGAGAGTAAGCAAGCATTGGTCTTTTTAATAGTATGCCACTAGAACAATTTTATTAAAACAGCAAAATATGAAAAAAGTAAGAATAGTTTTCTGTCATATAAATGATGATTTCTCAGATCTGACAGGCTGCTGCCATGGAAAACATTAATAGATCTTAATTTCAAAAGTAAGCAGCTCACATCTTCATAAAATTTTGTCCAAAAAGATGCTGTAGCCTGTATCTTCTATGTTGTTGTAAAACCTTTGGGTAAAAATTTTAGTTCGAACTCAAATTATGAACACAATTAAAAAATAAAATAATGGATTAATGAATCAAAGCTGGTCCACAATTTAAACTGATAAAAAACAAAGCCTTTATTACAAAATGTCCTGATTCTGTATATATATCCCTTTGTTTAGAGCAGCATGGGGACAACAAAGTGCTAATTATAACTGAATTTCAAAAAGTTTATTCTTTCTAAAAAGTACAGCCCTCTGGTGGTTGACTGAGTCTTTGATTTTCTTTCAATGTCATAGCTCTACGAAGCTCTTGAAGAACCGTCTTAATTGAACAAGTTCTCTGCCAACGACTGAGCACAGTAATAGATTTTTTCTCAACCTAACAGAAAAAATACATATTAACAAATCTATTTTAAATCATAGCTTTTCATATACAATCTAATAAAATAACACACAGAACATGAATAAATATTTTTTCCTGTTTACTGCTTATGATATGAGAAAACAAGGTCTGAACCTAATTTAAATATTTGCCAAAGTATGAAAAACAATATTCCTGAACAAGATGTCAACTTAATCATAAACACTGTTTCACATATTTTTCACCCTATATGAATTTAAACACAAAAAATTCTGAATTTACTACACGAATTAAATGAAGTCCTATTTGACAGACACATAAGAAATAAGCAGAAAACTAGTTTTGATACTAGTGCCTCAGTAATGCAGGGATAAAAATACAAAATTATTTTTACCTTATGCCATGTAACTACAAGAATTCCAATAGAACTATTTAAATGACATAAACTAACTAAAATCATAATTTATGTAAAGTTTAACGTGAGACCCTAAATGGTGTCTTTACGAAGTCCTAATTTGTGATATTTTTAGAAAATTGAAGTAATTTTCACAACTACACATTTAGTTTGAACCATTTTAAAATTAAAATATGAGTAACGTATCTAAGCTTTATAAGAAAATGTGAAGTGTTTTTAGTTGTTTGCATGCTCTTTTTCAAAAAATATTCTTTCTGAATATGTGACTTATGTTTGAAAACCTAGATGAAATTCTACGATATAAACAGTTTTGCCTTTAACCGAATTAAATAATGTAAGTATTAAAACTTAAATAATGAGTAATGAAATTGAACTGTTTCAATAATAAAAGAAAAAACAAAATCAATTCAAATTCTCTCTAGCCTGTCTTTTGAAGAAACTATCTTTCTCATAAGATGTTTTCTACACAATTCTAAGAATTTGTTCTAAAAATGGTAACTACTTTGGTAACAAAACAATATATACATTTATCTTGTGGTTCTTACATCATCCATGTTTGACTACTTAACGTATGAAATGTCATTGTTATCTAGATTACAAAAATAAAATGTTACTGACAACTTTTTGAATCTTGTATTTCTTCATAATGTGAAATTCAATTTTCATTGATAAATTTGAATTACCTATAAAAAATTTACTTGTTTTCCACCCTACATAAGGAAAACAAGAATAAAATTATGAATCTATAAGATTTATTTGACAGACCATGATAATGGTAAATACATGTAAGCAGTAGAAGTGACTTTCGTAATATGGTCAGCACAATAATATGGATATTAATGACACATTATTCCTACCTCAAATGATGGAAATACTAGAATCTCATTATGAATCTATTTAACTGAGAATGTATATATTTGCATACAACAAAAAATGTTTTTGTAACATTATTTTCTAAATGTGACCCAATTTAAATTTGTTTTTAATAGCATAGTTACATTTTTTCTTTAAACTTAACTTGTTAAAACTAATTTTCAACATGAAGGCTTTCTGAAAAGGCTTCTTAACATATTTAAACTCAATAAAACTATATTCCTAATTTCATGAGTTTTCTATTTAGGTTTTCAAGAATACCTCAGTAATACATATTTTAAGAAAAATGACCCAGAAATTTGAATGCTTTCAAATAGTTGACTATTTTATTTCTGGAGTAAAAAAAAATAAAAGTTAAAGAGTGTGTGTGGTAATAAGTATGAAAAATATGTACATATTACAAAATACATTTAGTTGTTGGTAAGCTTCAATGATAAAGTCCGTTTTCTTTAGGGTGATAATGATGCCATCTTTGTCACATGACAGGGATGCTGAAAGAATACCATAGCTGTTCATTTCAGATGTTCTAGAGGCTATGCAGCATGGTATTATGTGTTTAATGTTAGTTATCAACTATTCATTTTACTTTAAATTGCTGATTTAGTGACAACTCATGATAAAGGAGAGTAAATTCCATGCCTTTTATCTAAAAGAAGTCATTATTAAATTTAAAACCATTAACAGTAAGAATTAGTCTAAGTGTATTCTCTAATATATATAAAGGGAGAAAATAGTTTACTTAAAAGAGCAAAAGTATTTGATTTTAGGGACCAAATCATAAAAAAGTGACAAGATAAAAATTCAAATGAAAATATTCTTTTAAATATTTTATATTTTATTTATTTATTTATGCTTTAAGGGGTAAAAACACGATAAATCAATAGGATAAAAACATATGGAATAACCCTTGCAGATTTACAAAATGGTAATAATAATTAAGAAATTAATGGAGGGTGACTACCTATCAGTTTGCCCCTGATAAAGAAAGGTACACCTTTCGAAAGCTCTTGGGTTATAGGGTTTTCATTCACACCTATAGGTTAAATATGGGTATGGAAATGAAAAAAGTTAATATTAGGGCTTTTTTTTGGAAAGGTACCAAGGTCAAAAATCCCAGGGTTAAGACTGGTGCCATTTGGCATTACAATATTCAGAGATACTATTGAGAAAGCATTCTTAATTTTGCCTCTCTGAATGTGAAAACAGTGTCTATACTTATGAGTTTAATGTTTTCAAGTGAGTGGTTGGGCACATTAAAGTTTAGCTACAGAAAGTTTTTTGTTCGTGGAAATTGAAGATTTGTGATTATTCAAACATTTTCTTACAGTTACGTTGGTTTGTCTGATATACTGAAAGTTACATGTCTGATACTGGATTAGATAAATTGCATTTTTTAGTGGTGCGAGTTATGAGTTTTGTGATTTTGTATTGTTTTTACTTTTCTTTACCAGAGAATTGGAGTGTGTGTTGCATAAACTTACAGGTATGGCAGTGCCTAATGGATGATTAAAACCAAATTTAGAGTGAGCTAAGTGTGATTTTAAAGTTATGTTTCTCTGAAAAGAAAAAAGAAGCATCTAGAAGAATTTATTTTCATCAATCATCAACTCTATGAGTACAAGTAGTGGCCAAAGTGTGCATGTCATAATCTTTTACAGAGTGCCATTCAACATGGTACTATGTATTTGATATCACAGATAAACTATTCATTTTACCCTAAATTCTTTATTTAGCTACACCTCGTGATAGAGAAGAGTGAATACCACATACAATATACAGGAATGCTGAAAAAAAAAAGCTGTAGATATTTATTTCAGAAATCTTAGAGGTTATGCAAATTGTAGAATGGACAAAAGTATTTTTATTCTTTACATGAACATCACCATCACTCTGATTTGTCAGAGTCTGAATCAGATGACAGTCAAGTCAGAGACATATCTTGAGTACAAATATTTCTCTAACACATCTGATTTTTTGTGTACAATAGACTTGTAGATTTTACTAAAAGCCACATTCTGTGAAGATAAACTCCTATAAATTCAGAATTATAGTCAACATTTATTCTCCAATACAGGGTTGGTCCATTCATGGACATTCGGGCATTTCTTCAGGATCTAAGGTAGGTTTTTTTATTTTGGGTGATAGGAAATAACCAGTGAACAGAGAGAAGTTTGTGTCCAGTGACTGATTCATAGCATTATCAAGTGAGATATTGTTAGTTTTGTTAATTTCTTTGATTTTTCTGTCATTGTTTTTTTATCCAATCAATGTGACTTTCATTGTTCTTATCTCAGAGCAGGTGTTATTGAATCTTACGGCTTGGCTAAATGTAATATACAATTAGCGTGTGGAGGGTGACAACTTCTGTAGTGCAGGTATTGTGGACCATCAGTCTGCTTTCAGTAGAGATCAGTGTGTAGACAACCGTCATTCAGTATTAATGTCTAAAAAGTCGATCTGAGTAACAGAGTAATCCAAAGTGAATTTAATAGAACTACAGAAGCGGTTTGCACATCTATAAAGGGATAATAAGAAACTTTTGTTGCTTATCCGGATGAAAAAAATTATCAGTGTAGCATCTTCAGATTCTTGGTTTGTCTTTACAACTTTATAATGGTCTAGTTTCTAAGTTTCCCATTAAATATTGACATAATTTAGTGACATTTTGGTACCCTTTTGTCAAAAAGAAGTCATTACCAAATTCAAAACCATTAAGAGTAAGAACCAATCTAAGTAAGTCTGTGATAGGCTACATGTTGGCTGTGTTAGATTTCAATAGGAGATATTCAAGAGCTTTCTGGCCTTCATCGTTTGGGATATATATGTGTAAAGTGAAGATACATCCATATTACAAGAAGTGTTTGGAAGGAGTGGGCCTTTACTGTTAATGTTGCAAATCAAGTTCAAAACATGTCTATAATATAAGATATAGTCAATGTAGATAGATTTTCAGCATGCATACCAGTGTTCGAAATAATATAGCAACATGGTTTGTGTATCTTTGTTAATATGTAAAAGCGAATTGGAGTAGGGGTAAAATCATAAATAATATTCAATGTTAAACTGGTACACAGTTAAAAACATTTTATTTAGGCCTATCTATGGCTTTCAAAAAGTTGACGACTCAACATGTTTCGACGTTACAACGTCATACTCAATGCCGAAACATGTAGTCTTCAACGTTTGGAAGGCCATAGATAGGCCTAAATAAAATGTTTTTAACTGTGTACCAATTTAACATTGAATATTATTTATGATTTTAACTTTATACACAAGTGCCAAAATACTATAATTTGGAGTAGGGGTGTTTAAGTAAAATGAATTTTAGAGTGTCACAACTGACGAGTTGGTTTTTCTGTAAGTTGTTTAGTACTTCCTCAATAGTTTTAACAAACTGAGAGGTTGGGTCAACACCTATTTTTTTTTATAGTAGTTAGTATCATTTAGTTGTTGGTAAGCTTTGTTGATAAGGTCAGTTTTCTTAAGAGTGACAGTGATGCCAACTTTGTAAGACAGACCAATACCAATGTCTTTGTAATGTTTATTGTAGAAGAGATTATTCTATAGTTTGGAATCACTTCATTTTTAATGGTAAGTAATAAAGCTTAGTGTTGCTCCCTGTTGATTGGGAATGACCAGGTGGATTTCTCTTTGAACTGTGAGTTATGAGTTTTGTTGTAAAAAATTACAAAAAGCCTGAGCCTGTAAACAAGTTTTTGTAAGTTGGAAA